ACTGTTTCCCTGACTTCTCACAGTTGAGACAAGCAGCACCCTGTAAACATCATAAATGCCAACTCATTATTCTTTTTTAAACATTTCCTTGTGCTGAGACCACTCCCTATCACACTAACCACTGCTGTCCCACTGTGTATTTTTACTTCTCCATTTGTTGTTGTATATCCACCTGTGGTCTTTGTCTACTTATGTTTGTTTTTACTTATGGGGGGATGACTTTCCAAAAATGTGTCATCAGATGTTTTTAATGAAACTTCAATTTCAAACAGATGTGATCAAAGAGGGAAGACATCAGAATATTTCTCAAACAAGTCTTGCTACTTAAAAATGGTTTAATAATTTTCATAGATTTCATAGACATTAGGGCTGGAAGGGACCTTGGAAGATCATCGAGTCCAGCCCCCTGCCCAAAGGGCAGGAAATCAACTGGGGTCATAGGATCCCAGCAAGATAAGCATCCAGTTTGCTCTTGAAGGTGTTCAATGTAGGCGCTTGAACCACCTCCGGTGGCAGGCTGTTCCAGACCTTGGGGGCTCAGACAGTAAAGAAATTCTTCCTTATGTCCAGCCTGAAACGATCTTGTAGTAGTTTATGACCATTCGACCTAGTCGTCATCCCTTGGGGCGCTCTGGTGAACAAACGTTCCCCCAGATACTGGTGGTCACCCCTGATAAACTTATAGGTGGCCATCAGACTTCTCCACATCCTTTTTGAATTGTGGAGCCCAAAACTGGACACAGTACTCCAGCTGCGGCCTCACTAAGGCCGAGTACAGGGGGAGAATGACGTCCCGGGATTTGCTTGAGAAGCATCTATGGATGCAAGCCAGCGTTTTGGTCGCTTTACTAGCCGCCGCATCGCATTGCAGGCTCATGTTCATCTTGTGGTCAATGATGACCCCCAAGTCTCTTTCTTCCATAGTGCTAGCCAACATAGCACTGCCGAGCCTATAAGGATGCTGCGGGTTTTTTTTCCCAAGGTGGAGAACCTTGCATTTATCGGCGTTGAACACCATCAGATTCTCGTCCGCCCACTTGCTGAGCCTGTCCAGGTCAGCCTGGATAACCTGCCTGTCTTCTGGTGTGGATGCTTTGCCCCAAAGTTTGGTGTCATCGGCGAACTTGGCCAGTTCTGATCGCTTCTGACTCCAGTGTCCACATCATTAATGAAGATGTTGAACAGTATGGGTCCAAGGACAGAGCCTTGGGGGACCCCACTGGTCACAGGACACCACGATGAGTGACTTCCATCGATTACTACCCTCTGGGTCCGACCCCGGAGCCAATTTTCCAGCCAGTGGATCGTGGAGGACCCAAGGCGACAATTGGCCAGTTTCTCCAAGAGGCGATCATGGGACACCAGATCGAAGGCTTTTTTGAAGTCAAGATATATGACATCAATCTCTTCTCCCTTGTCCAGGTGATAGGTCACCTGGTCGTAGAAGGAAATGAGATTGGTCAAGCAAGACCTACCCGCAACAAACCCGTGCTGGCTATCCCTTAAGATGTTGGCGTCGGCCAGTCCATTAAGGATGGCCTCTTTAATAAACTTTTCTAAGATCTTCCCCGGGATAGAAGTCAGGCTGATGGGCCTATAGTTAGCCGGATCCACTTTCCTCCCTTTCTTGAAGATAGGCACCACATTGGCCTTCTTCCAGTCTTCGGGCACTACACCAGAGCGCCAAGAGTTTTCAAAGATCCGTGCTAGAGGCTGGGCTATGATGCTCGCCCGCTCCTTGAGTACCCTGGGGTGAAGATTGTCAGGGCCGGCTGACTTGAAGGTATCCAGCTTCTCAAGATGTTCCTTCACGAAGTCAGCATCAATGGAGGGCAGGGGATCACCCTCACCCGGACTTCCCTGTCCCGTAGCGGGCATGGGCGTCCCATTGGGCTGAAAGACCGACGCAAAGTACCTATTTAATAGGTTGGCTTTTTCCTGGGCATCAGTTGTCAGTTGCCCCGGCTCAGCAGGGGTCCAACGTTGCCCCTGCTTTTCCTCCGGCTCCCCACATATCTGAAAAAGGACTTTTTATTGTCCTTGATGCTCAAAGCTAGTTGGAGTTCAGTTGCAGCCTTGGCTTTCCTGGTCTGCTCCCTACAGGACCGGACCAGTGCAGAATAATCCTCCTTGGAGGTGACTCCGATCCTCCATCCTTTGTAGGCCTTTCTTTTTAGCCTCAGGAGGTCTGCTAGGTCCCTGTAGAGCCAGGGGGGCTGCTGTGCCCTCTTGCTGCCTTTCCTCCGAGATGGAATAGACTTAGTTTGTGCATTGAGGATCGCTCCCTTGAGGAGCAACCACTCTTCTTGAACTCCCCTCTCCCCGTGGTCATGGTCCCTTAGGGCCTCACTGACAAGCCTCCTTAATAAGCAACTGTTGTGAGCCACTCTTAACACCTTCCCTCTTCCACATCCGCCCCCTCCTTCTTACAGTACATACTGTGTTTTCACAAGACGGGATGAGTTTTGACTAGTATAAGGATAGCTAACAGTAGCCCTGAATCTGTGGACTAAATGTATAGGAGAGGCGCTCAGGTGATCCTCTTACCTCTGAGTTTTCCCATGACTCTAGGAAACATTGGGTTAAGGCACCAGGCTGCTCTGCTTGTGCCACCTCCTATATAGGAGGCAACAGAGCTGCTTTAGTGTGGTGTTCTGTGAGAACTGATTAGCTTCATTGTGAGGTGCCCTGGGAGCTTGGGGGGATCAAAAAAAAGTTGAGAACCACAGGGGGAAAGCATGATGCTTTTACTGTTTATCGAGCCATAAACAGTATGCTATGGCTGTTTAATTCTTAATGTGTGAATTGTCAGTATTATAATGAAAGTTATCTCAAGGTTAAGAAAAACGTACATTTTTCTGCATGTCAACTTCTTCCCTAGTGAGACATAGGTTGTTTGCACTTCTCTTCCTGAAAATACCCCGTTCAGATTGCACTTGCTGATTTGGGCTCTAAGACTTGCTTTCCATTTTTACACCTGGTTAAATTACCTCCTGGTGCTCTGCTTTGTCCATTGCTACCCCAATTTTGGAGCAGCTGTATATGGAACCTTTTTCCTTTCTCTTCCCTCTAGATCCTCTAGAGCAGGGGTGGCTACCCTGCAGCATGTGTGTGGCATGTGGCAGAAAAATCAGGAACGTGTCATTTGCTCATGTCTTATTCTAGATGCCATCTAAGTATAATTTTGGAATGTTCCCGACACCGAAGTTTAAGAAAAACGTATCCTCTTTATAAAAAAAATATGCCACAATTCTGGTACAATTGTGGAAGATTTTTTTAAAAACTGACTTGTGGATGATGGACTATAATGTTTTTATATTTTCTTTTATCCTAGTATGTTTGGAGAGGCAGATACAGACCTGCAAGAGCTTCGAGCCTCAATGGAGCAGCTACTTAGGGAGCAGCCTAGTGAGGAATTCAGTGAGGAGGAAGAGTCTACTTTAAAAGCTAGAACTGCAGAACGCATAACAAATGGTACAGAACTGGATGATGAGGAAGACAATAACCCCAGCAGTGAAAGTGTACTTAATGAAGAATGGCAGTCAGGTAAAAGTAGTGATTATTTGTAATTTCCTTCCTGGGATGTTAGACATAAATGCAGAATAAACCAACGGTTAGTATAGGGTTTTAAATTTGCTTGTTTGTTTTTAATATTAAGATTCCAGCTCATTTTATTGCAAAACTTGGGAATTCAAGCTGTGATTAAATCTGTTTTTCCTCTTACTGCAAGTAGTGCTGAAGGAAAACATTTTGGCATCTGAATAGTGATTACAAACCAGTATACAGTCACCTAGAACTTATCTTTGGAAGGATTGAAGATCATACATCTGTGTATATTCTCTTTTTCAACTTGCATTCACAATCCTGTCGCATAAGAGTGAATGGGAAATAGCAGATGGCTTGATTGGAGTAGTTAGAATTATACTGCATTCAAGTTTATAAAATTTATTTAATACACTCAGAAGAAGCAGCATGTTTTTAATACTGCCCTTCCCAAAATAAGCTGCTGCTGTCAGACTAGAAATTCAAGTGAGTTAACTTCAGAAAATCCTACCACTGCTTTGCTACTTTGAGGAATTGATACTAACAGCACAAAATGCTGCCCTAAAATGGTAATGAAAGGAAAAAATAGTGCTGTTTAAGAAAAATAAAGAAATCCAAACTTGTATTTTTAGCAAAGGAACAGGGTAAATGAGGGAATTTAACAAGTTCTAAATGATGTCAGGATTATAGCAGAACTACCTGTCTGTAAAAACAACCACTACAGACTAAAAGTGAAATCATGGTTTTGTCATCATTCATGAGTAGCTGAAGGCGACTGGTATATCTCAGCATAACAACTATATGTAAATAAATGGCCTTATGTAGCACCTTTACATGGGAAATCTTAAAAGGTTTTTGTAGAAATTAAACTTCATATGCATGTTTCTCCCCTCTCTCCTCTCTTCACAGTTCTTAGTTGCTCATGTAAATAACACCATTTTGGAAGTAATCCATAGTGGCCCATTCTCTTGATTTTTATGGTGAGCCTTTCAGCATTTGGTATTAATGTCCCACCTCCTGGAATAATGAGATTTCATGAGAGATATAGGATTCTGTTTTAAAGAAAATAAAATGTTAGCCTTCAAGGCTGTACAGAGACAAGCTTTAAAATGCAACTTCTAATAGCTTAGAACCTAGAAGCAAATAAAATCATGTGGTTTTTAAGACATTCATTATTTTATTGGAGCTCTTACTAATTTTGTAGACACTTGGGGCTGGCAGTGCTGGTTTAAATGTATGGCATGGTTAGGTTGGTAACTTCTGGTGGTCACAGAATTATATATTTGATCATTTATAATAGTAAGTCAAGAGTTCTCATATTTAATTGCTAAATTCTGCTACCTGTTTGTCAGTTTACTGTAACAAAGTTTGCAAATCTAGCCACAATATTGTCAGAAAACAGTAAGCTCTTTGGCCACATGCACGCTATCCTTCTCTCCTTCTTTAGAGCATGAGGATGCGTGCTGTTTTTATCGGTGTGGTAGCATTTTGGCACACTTTCCTGAAGCTAATTACTTAAATTTGGTTTTAGAGGTTTCTGTGCTGACGAGAGTTTAGGCATGTGGTGCAATATATTCAGAACCCCAGGAAGATTAAACTTTTTGTGCTTTCTGCCTTATATTTTTTTTCTTTGCAGACAACAGTGATGGAGAGATCACCAGTGAATGTGAAGAGTATGATAGTGTCTTCAGCCATCTAGAAGAGTTGAGATATAACTTGGAGCAAGAAATAGGTTTTGATAAATTCATTGAAATCTATGATAAAATAAAGGTTTGTTGAATTCTCCAAGTGCAATAATACTTTTTTTTTTAAGTTATATTAATCTGACCTCATACTGCTCATTGCTATGCTATCCAAGTTTGTTGTGTAACTATGCATAAGTACAGACTAGGGAATGACTGGCTAGGCTGCAGTACTGGAGAGAAGGGCCTAGGCGTTACAGTAAGCTATAATTTGAATGAATATGAGCCAACAGTGCACTCTTGTTGCAAAGGAAGCCAACAGCATACTGGGTTATACTAACAGGAATGTCAATATTCCTGTTGTTTTGAAATTTTCAAGGAAACTAATTCTTCTGCTTTGTTCAGTACTGGTGAGGCCTTACCTGTCATTCTGTGCCAAGTATTGGGTTCCATACTTCAAGAAGGATGTGAACAGATTGGAAAG